CTTGGGCGCGCAAATCCGAGCGGATATCACAGGTTGGTGTCACTGACACCACGGCGTGGCCAACACACAACCAAACGCATATATTCAGGCGGACAGCAGACCAGAGTAAATGCTACATTTTGCCGGAGCTGTCGAACAATAAAGCATTACCGACACTTGTCGACCCACGGCTGGCAAACATACACACACGCTCGCGGACTACAAAGAGTGTGGTGGAGGAAACAGCGCACAGCAAAGTGAAAAATGTAGGAAAAAAAAATGAAAAATAGTATGACGTTTAATATCTTGTGGCATGTTGCACGAACTCATATGAGTATGCAAATTGCAAAAGTATGCAAGTCATTTATGGCGGGTGCTGGTGAGATCCAAAAATAAAGCGAAAAAAGCACGACGAACATGAAAAACAAAAACGGAGTATGTTAACACCGTTAAATAAGAGATGAAAAAAACATAAAAGCCCAGGCAACAACAACTACAGCAGCAGCTGCAAAAGCAAGAGCATGAACCTGTGACACACCCTGCCGCTCCTCCGGCTATTCAGCGCGCGCAAAACCCTTACGCTTTTGGCCAGAAGTCAACCAACAGCTGCGGCATTTTTAAGTAATTTTATCGGTTGCCCCCGCCGGTGGACGTACACCGCCGCAGCAGTCACATCAATGGCAATCTGGCTTACAATGTTGTTGGCGCATTTACCGTCATGTTCGTACTCCACTCCGCGCTACTTTTATTTCTTTTTATACCACACTTTTCGCAGTGTTCCACTGAGCTCTTCTCATATACGCGTACACATACAAGTATATATTTGCCAATAGATTGGCAGCCGGCTGCTGGAAAAATTGTACGTGTAGCGAGTAGTTACATACTCGCTTTTTTATTGAGAGGCGAGCTTGGTTTGGTGCAAATCGCCGTGTTAAACAAGCTCCATCGTCATGTTGTGATTCCAGCCATAAAAGCATTTAACATGGCCATTTTTTGGTGGCTCCGGCCAAATAACCAGGACTTACAGTCAGAATTCGCACACACACCACTGCTGTGCTCACGTACATACGTGTACTTGCATACTACCATATTCATATGTCTGCATGTAAGTGGCATATTTACATAGTCCTTTGTGGCGAAAAAAAGATGGCGAGAAGGCAAAAATATGCAGCGGGAAGATGAGAAAAAAAAAGAAAAGATATGACGAAAAAAATGTGCGAACAATGGCTGTGGTTCTTTAGCTGGTGACTACACAAATAATTGGAGGTAAATTTGTTGTGCCTGGATATGCATTTATGTACTCGCACATCTACATATAAACATATATGTGTTTGTGTATATGTATGTAGAAGGTATTATATTTCTGGTTATTGCCCTTGCTGCAGCAGGAAAAAAGCTTCGGTCGTAGAGTCACTACATTTTAAATAATTTAACAAGACTGTGATTAACCCTCTCTTACGGTAGAAAAAACTAACAAAAATTAAAGAATTTCGCTACTAACCTTTGAAATGTAGATAGAAATTAAAACTAAATTTTTGTTTGCAGTGTGAGCATAGTGAAAGCTCTACTGAAAAATTAATATTAAAAAATAATAATAATAAATGTTAATAAAATAAATTTAAACATAATAATATAAAATAAAATATAATAAATTTAAAATAAAAAAATTAACTGTAGAAAAATTAAATTAAAAAAATTAAAGAAAACTAAAAAATTTAATAAAAAGAAATAAAAAAATATATTATATAAACAATATAAAAAAAAACAAAATAAAATAAAACCAAACACAATAATATAAAAAAATAAATTAATTAATTAAAACAAAATAAAATGAAATAAAATTAAATTAAAAGAAAGTAAAATAAGATTTAAAAAAAAACCAATTAAAAAAATTTAAATAAAATAAAAAAAATTAAAACAAAAAAAAATAAAATAAATAAAATAAAATTAAGTAAAATAAATTAATATAAAAAAAATAATTTAAAATAAAATTAATAAAACTAAAAACAGTATATTATAAAGAATTTAATCAAAATATAAAACTAAATTAAAATAAATGAATTGAAATAAAGATAATAAATAAGAAAAAAAGAAAACAACAAAAATAAGTTAAAGAAAATAAAAAAGAATAAAATTAAATTATATAAATGAAATAAAATAAGACAAATATTATAATATAAAATAAATTAAAATAAAAAACAAAAATAAGTAAATAAATTACAAAAATAAAATAAAATAAAATAAAATTAAAATAAAATAAAATTAAAATAAAATAAAATAAAATAAAAAACAATAATAAGTAAATAAATTACAAAAATAAAATAAAATAAAATTAAAATAAAACAAATTAAAAATAAAATAAAAATAATAATGTGATATAAATAAAATTGAGAAAAATAAAATAACGAAAAACAAAATATATTAAAAATAAAAATAAAATACAATGATAAAATAAAATAATATAAAACAAAATGAATTGAAAATATAAAAATAATAAAACAAAATAAAATATATGATAAAATAAAAAAAATTAATTTAAATTAAATTATGTAAATTTAAAAAACTAAATAAAATTAAAAAAGTTAAATAAAATAAATTAAATCGAATTAAAGGAAAAAAAATTGAAAAAATTAAATAAAATAAATTAAAATGCAATAGATTAAAAAAACAATCAAAAATAAAATAACTTAAAATTAAATTAAGTTAAATTAAATAACAAAATAAAATGAAACAAAACAAAATAAATATAATCAAACAAAATGATTTGAATGAAAACTTAAAACAAAATAAAATATATTATATAAAATAAAATAATTTGAAATAAAATAAAAAAAAAAATAAAATAAAATTTTAAAATAATACAAAATAAAGAAATGACGTAATATAAAATAAAATAGTAAAATAAAACGAAAACAAAAAATAAAAAAAAACAATAAAACAATATAAAATAAAATTAAATAAAGAAAGAAATAAAATAGGATAAAATAAAATAAGATAATTAGAACAAATTAATATATAAGAATATAAAACAAAGTGAAAAATTTGAAATAAAAAAAATTAAGAAAATGAAATAAAGAAATTTTAATTTAATAAAAAGAAATAAAATAAAATAAAGTAAAACCAAATAATTTAAAATAAATAAAACAAAATAGATTGAAATAATATAAAATGAAAAAAGTAAAAGAAAAAAACAATAAAACAAAATAGAATTATATGAAACAAAATAAAGATAAATAAAATAAAACAAATTAAAATAAAAAAAAATTGAACTAAATAAGACCAAATAACAAAATAAATATTTTCATAACAGAATAGAATGAAAAGAGAAATAATTAAAAGATGAAAAAACAAAGAGAAAACTAAATAAAATAAGAGAAAAAGAAGTAAAATAAAACAAAATTAAAAAAAAAAACAGTATAGAATAAAATTAAATAAAGAAAAAAATAAAATAGGATAAAATAAAATAAGATAATAAGAACAAATTAATTTGAAAGAAAGTAAAACAAATTGAAAAATTTGAAATAAAAAAATTAAATATATGAAATAAAAAAATTTTAAATTAATAAAAAGAAATAAAATATAATAGAGTAAAAAAACTAATTCAAAATAAATAAAACAAAATATATCGAAATAATATGAAATGAAAAAAGTAAAATAAAAAAATTAAAAAAAGAATAAAACAAAATAAAATTATATGAAACAAAATATATATTATATAAATGCTGATGCTGATAAATATTTTCATAACAGAATAAAATAAAAAAAGAAATAATTAAAAGATGAAAAAAGAAATTGAAAGCTAAATAAAATAAGAGAAAATGAAATGAAATACAACGTAAAGAAAAACAACAAAAAACGAAAACGAAAATAACATAATATAAAATAAAAGGAACAAAAGTAAATAAACTAAAATGAAAATTAAACAAAAATAAAAAACATCTGAAAAGAAATTAAATAATATAAATTAAAATAAAGAAAATGAAATAAAATACGTTAAAAATATAAGTAAATTAAACTGTTTTAATTGAAATGAAATGAAGAAATATAAAGCAAAGCAAACAATAAATATTAATATGTATGGGTTTATACAATACAATAACATAAAACGAAATACAAAATGTTATTTGCTTTATTTTATTAATTTTTTCTTTCTGCGCATTAAATTTTAGGATTATTGTAATAAGATTTTTATATAGTTTTTACGTGAGTTGTATTATTTATTAACTATTATGTTAAAATGTTTATTTTTCAAACGTCTTCATCATATAAGCCTAGAAACAATATAATATTCGCGATTTTTTTGAATAGATACGTCCCGACAACAAGTTTTCCATTCACTGATAAAGGCAAAGAGTCATCTGCATTCCATATATTAAGCAAAAGCGAACCATCGAATCGATTTCTGGCTCACTTCTTCGAAGAAAAAGTGTTCCCCACGTCAATACGTCGATTTAAGCAAAAATCTGCCTCCGTCAAAAATTTCATGAAAGTCGATGGAATTAAAAATAATTTAGATTTTTTCGAGTAGAGCAATCCGTGGTCCACATACCAGAAATCGTTTCTTATCAGATGCCTACGTCGTACGCAGAACACAGTTTCTAAGTTTTAGCTCTCTAGAACTGATGGTTGAGGCTATGGGTGGATCATGGTCAGTCATGCAGAATAAGGTCTTTTACATATATTATTATAAATGAAACATAAATGAAATAAACTAAAATAAAGTAAAAATGTATGATATTATATAAAATGGCTGCCACGTGAAAGCAACATGACTACTGCTGGGCGTGGGAAGGACTACGGCTTCTTCCGAACCAAATGCAGTCCTTACTCCAAAATATGTAGTTACTTAGCGCCTAGAGATAATATTCTCGAGATAATAAATGAATATCTTCAATACACAACATAGCAGACGTCAAAATATAATAAACTCATTAGAAAATTCTTTCTGAGAAATTAACATTTTCCATGACTAAAAGATTCAGTTTAAATTTTCAGCAAACTTTCTTTTTCTCTCTTCACAGATCTCAACTCCCGTTGTCTGGTCCAAAACTAATCTAGAAAAGAAACTTAAAAGTCTTTTAGGACCAAACATTCTTCCAAGTAAACTCCTTTCATTGTTGCCCGATCGACAAAGATAAATTTGCAAAAATTGTTCGCCTCAAACAAGTCGCCCACGGCCACAACCACTACAGAATGCATCTAACAACAACGACCAACACCGTCGTCGCCAATAATGCGGGCGCGACACAGAATAGCAGCAACAACAATGCAAATAATTCCAGTTCAAATAATAATGGCGGTAGCAACAATAATGCGGCTACAAACGGCAACAACAACAATTCCAATGAACAAAATACACCGCCAACCGCCGCACAGCTGCTAAATGAAGCCTACACAAAGATGACTTCGGATATATTGGCGGAACGAACATTAGGCGACTTCCTTACCGAACATCCGGGCGAGTTGATACGCACCAGCAGTCCGCTTTTTGTGTGTACGGTACTGCCGCCGCATTGGCGCTCAAATAAGACGCTGCCGGTCGCCTTCAAGGTGGTCTCGTTGGGCGATATTATGGACGGTACTATGGTGACGGTACGCGCTGGGAATGATGAGAATTACTGTGCTGAGTTGCGGAATTGCACGGCTGTAATGAAGAATCAGGTGGCGAAATTTAATGATCTGAGATTCGTGGGACGGAGTGGTAGAGGTGAGTAGAGGAATTTCAATTCAACACATCGTATAGAGAAATGAGAAAACAAATATTGTAGTCAGTAAATAATTCGAAAATCTAAGACGGTAACCTTATTGTCATGTGACTTTAATATTAGCTGGGGTATTATCGTCTCATAAACTTAGTTAGATTAGGTACCGTCGTTACCAAGCAAAGGAGGAGTACTTGCGGTTTATTCTTGGAAAAGTTGTTGGCGGCTGAAACTGTTTTACTAGCGCTTTGTACTATGAGCTGTGAGTACAAATCCCGAAACGTTATAAAACAGGTTTTACTAGCGCTTTGTACTATGAGCTGTGAGTACAAATCCCGAAACGTTATAAAACAGGTTAACTGTTGGATGGATCTCTCTCCATTGGTATGAAATCGAAATAGCAGAGCTACCGAAATCTCACAAAGAGGTTATGAGAACTCTACTAAAGATTGAGGTTGCTTATCGAATGCTGGGCACAAGAGATTGGTGTTGTACCTGCATAAACTTACATCGATTTCGAAGAGATCAGTCCGCGAACGTTGATAAAAGTGTAACTCAGCGATGATCTCCACTCTTCCGAAGCATCTAGACCTTACTTCACAGAGAGTGTTACCAATCCACACCATACCCAAAACAAGATTACTTTTTAACCGAATTTGTATTTCTAATGAAGCCTTCCATTGGGTAATTAACTTCCTTGGTCTACTCTCAGACCTAACCACCACAAGTGTTGCAAATTAAGCTATTTTTTACTTCGTACTATTTTCTTGAAGCTGAAAAAAAACTTGTCCCACTTTATGGATCCCTAGAGAACCCTACGATCTTCTTCCTCAACAACAGGAAATACATAAGTTTGAGTATTCGATGTAAGCATCACCTTCAGAATCAGATTTGTGTAATGCAGCGGGTTTCACATCGGTTATGCTTAGTATGTAGAATAAGACGACCTCTGGGTAATAACTTAAGTTTGAACGACCCCGACGTTCATGAAAAATGAATGGATTTGAAGTTATAATCTTCTTCGTTGGCGTGGGCACCGCTATGGTGAATATAGCCGAAACAACATTACCGCGCCATCTTTCTCACGGAGTGGACTCTTCCTCTGATTCCATCGTCTTTAGCTCTAAATACCTGATCTCGCGCCCTACCTGAGAGTATACACTACGACCATGGGGGTCGATTAGGTGCCGTACGCTACAGCTCGGACTGACGTTTGGAATACCTTGACGCATTTTACGTCGAGATCTTAAATTGCAAGCGATCAAAATCCATCTTGCGCTTGTGTGAACTGAAGCCGCTCTTCATTCCCAAGCGAGATCGCTTCGCTCTATAGGTTCTTGAAAAAATTAAAAAATATCCGCAGTTTTCGAACCAAATATTGTTCAGCCAGAAATGGGGCTGGATAAATATATAAACAAGCTAAATTGCCGCATTTGGGACGAAGAGTACCTGACAAGTTTCACGAGCTGCTATTTCATCCAGAAAAAAACAGCGATTTGGTGTGGTTTGTGGGTCGGTGAAATCATCGGTCCACATTTCTTCAAAAATAATGCCGGTGAGAGCGGAACCGTCAATGATAACAGACTATTTGAAGCTGAAAAATGAAGCTCGTGATCTCGGCGACATTTGGTAACAACAAGACGGCGACACTTCTCCAAAGTCGCCTAAGCTCCAAAGTCTTTGCGGATAATCTCGCCTAGATTCAGGCCTTGGAGCGAATCATTCCGTGTGTCATTCGTCGGTTACCAGTCGAAATTCTCGAGCGAGTCATTGAAAATTGGGCTCAACGGTTGAACCATCTGAGACGTAGCCGCGATCAGTATTGGAAAGAGATAATCTTCAAGAAATGAATGCCAAAAAATATTCTTTCGAATGATAATAAATAAATCCCATCAGATTTGAATTTTCGGTGTATTTCTATTAAAAAAAAATTGATCCCTTTCGAAGTTTCAATAGAGCACCTTTTATAATTCAGCATTCGGGTGAATGTAGATAAGCTAGAGACAGCAGGGGAAGAGCAAGACCTCCACACGGTTCGAAAGATCAGTTCGTTAAGGATCGCGCTTCATTTGGTGGCTCCAATTTGCACCAAAGATTTATCGAAAAATTCTCTCTTCTCATTTTTCTTATTTCTTCTCATTACTTCACCGTTGAGATCTCCAAAAATGCGTCAAAACGAATTTAAAAAAATTCCGATTTTTATCTCAATTACATCCTCAATTAAGAGTTAATATTTGTTTGAATGCCAACATAATTGAGTGAATTGTTCCCAAGCCGAAACAATGGAAACAATTGCGAAGAGGCAAAAAGTAAAAAGGGATCAAGAGAAATTAAATAAAACAAAATTCGCAACAATCGTAGCGGCAACATCAGCAATAATGTCTTTCAACAGCTGACAATGCAACACTTCAGCCTCACACAATCTCGCACTTTGGCACTTTGGAAAGTGCCAACATTTTGTTAACCAAAGTGAGCCTTTTAGTAGCAACATTTCGCACAAATTCACACTCATACACACACACACACACACACACTCGAGTACACTGCTTAATAAGTGTAATGAAAATTCACTTTTGTTGTCCGAGTAAGTGTATCATGTAGTTGCTGTTGTTGTTGTTACCTCTATTATCTTACAACATTTGAAATATTTGATTGTTGTTGAGTTCAGCTGCCAAGTGGCGAAATTGTTTGCTGTTAAAAAAGCGCTCACTGCCGCCACCGCCGCCAAGAGTAGCGGTTTTTCGCTTAAAAAGCTAACCTCAGCCAACGAAAGGATCTCGTCCCTTGCGCAGCCTGGCCTGTGTCCAGTCTCACTGCGTGGAGATTCTACAATTACTATTTTACAGCAACAACTCAGCATTTTTGTTAACAATACCAAGCACTTTCGCATCCCTCCCTCCTCTCTTCCTACCTCCCATTTTCCACTGTTTGATTCCTTTCTTTTTTTTCTGTTTTGAATTTTGCCAAGGCAAGTAATGCAATTTTGGTCGCAACAAAAAGCAATTGAAAATGTTTCGCACAAACAAAACACTTCACTTCGACTGTCCACAATTTTAGCGAAACACAAAAAACGCAAAAGTAGCACAACAACAAGAGCAACACTAAAATTGCGAGTAAATTAAAAAAGTGCAAAACTTTCGCCTCGTTTTTTGCTCGCTAAAACAAAGTAAAAGCGAAAAAAGCACCCAAAGTGAAAAGGCAAAAGTTTTGCGTGAAAATAGCAAAAACAAGAACAAGCAAAAAATTAAAAAAAAAAATTAAAATGCTGTTGAAAACAATTTCCTCATACGCCAACTCGGAGAGTACATTGCGTTGCGGCATCTAAAATTTCATTTTGTTTTGTATTTATTTATTGTTTTTTTTTTTTCTCTCTTCTCAACAATTGAAACTTCATCCATTGCATAGAGCTGTTTTTTACTTAACTTCCTCTACAGCGGGTTTTAACTACAACACAAACTCTCACACTCTCTCTCTCTCCGTCCACCTGCTCTCATTTCACTGCAGCCACTTCCCTCTAACGGCAGGCGTACTAAACCGCTTGTTAAGCGGAAAAGTGTCAGCACGCGGTCAGCTTCATTTGGCTGCCACTTTTTTCTACTGTTGTTGTTGTTGTTGTTGATGTTGTTGTAATATGTACTAACTGCATTTGTTGGTCTTCTGTGATCTCTTTTTTGTAGGGCGAAAAAATAATTCTGAAGTGGCAAATTAATTTACATCATTAATGTATTTTTTTTTTGTTTTCTCGCAATTTTCCTGAACAAAACAATTTTTTTTAATAAAAATGTTAACAAAATTTTTTATTTTCACTTTGTTGTAATAAAAATTGTAAGAAAATATTAGTTTAGGTCAAGCTTACTCCACTCTCTCTTTTGCGCCGTTCATCGCCTGCTGGAAACAAGAGGAGAATACGGATCCTACACACCATCACATCTTTCCAAAGGCGTGGAAGCCTTACTTGGGCTATTTCATCCATCCGGATAACAAGGTCAAGTCATGGTAGCAGCTGCCTCTCTAAACAAGGCCTCTATCTCATAAACTCGTTATGTTTGCTAGATTTGCCAGTTTGGAGAGAGCAGCATGAGCGGTACGGTTACTGAGGTGATGATGTAAATATCATTAAGGCGAACCAACAGTTGTGCTCTTTTGGATGATTGTGCTTTCTCAGCTTATTTCTGCACGTCGTATTATTTTCTACTCTACCATTAAGATGACAAGGTCACACGCTTTGGAAGGCCCTACGGCGTAAAGGGTGTAATGCCCAGGCTTGAACTATGACCAAAGCAATTTTTATCCCAAAAGGGAGTAGAGTTAAGCACGTTAATGCAGAGGACTTTCGGCCCATTCGTCTTACCTCTTAAAAATTTTTGAAAGGCTGCTGGACAGCTTTAAATGCCTAAGTCTCCTCTAGACAGTCTCTCGCGGAAGCAACATGGATGTTAATAACTCAGAAAAACCCGAAGTACCAAAGAGAGGTACAAACCGCCTCCATTTACGCAACCTGTACTAAAGACAGTGGCGATCACCCTCTCCATCGAAGTCTAATAATTTTAGATAGCCAACTCAACTGGAACCGGAATACGGCGGAAAGGTCAAGCACTTTGCGTTTGCGAAACGGCGATTGGATAACGGTGGGGTCTAAGATCAAATATCTTGTACTGAGTTTTACATCGGTAGTTAGTTCGATCCTACTCTTACTTAGAAGAACAAATTAGAGAGAATTCAATAGTTGCCTGCTATCCCGGTAATAGGAGCGCTTTCATCAACTGCCTTAAAGCACCGCTTGCTCTTCTCAACTTTCTTACTGTGGACCTGTACGGGAAACTAAAAGCGAGCTGCAACTCAACCTTGGAGCTAGAATGTTACGTTTTGCAATAATGCTAGTCAAAGGATCTGGGTTATGGAACTTTCAGGATGTGTTTCAAAAATCTTTTTTCCACGAGAATCACAAACAGAAATTAATGGGATAAGACTCACGCCTTTGATCAGGAAGCCATAACCATCTTCA